TATTCATATTGATATTTATTTGTTAGAATGTTAGAATGTTATTGCATTTAATACTAATTTGATTAATTTAATAACGTTACTATTGTATTTGTATACTATGTATACATTTAACGCAATAAATTCTTTGAGATTTAGGCAAAATATTTCCCTATTTTGGTTTAATAGTAATTAATTGAGCAAATAACAATTTAGATTGCTTCAATTTTAATGCATTCAATGACAGCGCTGTTCTTGGTACTATGTTAGATTTTTTCTGTGAAGAGTTATTTTAATACCTAATCCCATAAATGATACTTAGCTGAAAACGTAATTTGCAAGCTGAGGCCCGAGCCTGGCAAGCATTTAAGTTAAAGTAGGTAGTTTAGGATATGGGCTATGGTCATTAACGTTCCCAGAGATTTTGCCACTGTATATGTATGTATATAAACTGCGCACCACTCAATGTGTCGCAACCAAAAAGTTCGTCCTTTTTCAAAATGGCATAACTTTTTTGTTTCTTGAACGATTTTATTTTGGTCTGTAATGTCTGCTAACCCCATCCTTTGGCAATTCATGCTATACATATTAAGCCCACGGTTCTTCAAGTAAATTTCCTACAGGGTGATATTTAAAACGGTGAAAAATTTCAATAAGTTCATCCAAGCCCCGTTTGAAAAGAGAAATAAAGAAACGTTTCAAGGTAACACATAATACTTTATTATTTCAAAATAAAAACGAGAAAAAAATTATTTTTTTACAAACAGGGCTTGGATGAAGTTATTGAAAATTTTCACCCTTTAACATATCACCCTGTAGGAAATTTACTTGACGAACCGTGAGCTTCATATCTATAGCATGCATTGCCAGAGGATGAGGCTAGCAGACATCACAAACCAAAATAAAATTGTTCAAGAAACAAAAAAGTTATGTCGTTTTGAAAAAGAACGAACTTTTTGGTCGCGACACATTGAGTGGTGCGCAGTTTATTTTTTCTGACAACATAAAAAAGATATGGAAATTATATTATAAAATGTTAGTGTTTCTATTAATAAATATCATAAGGATATTAAAAAAAGCAATACAGGGTAATACCAGGAGGCGAAAAATTAAAATTTGTGATAAAGAAGCAAAACATTCTAACTTTTTTTCCGATCGGCCTTTGTTTTGAAAATATTGAGGATTAAACTTTTAAAAGATGTAATTAATTAACAGTATGAGAACTTTATTTAACCACTGTAAGGGTTAGACAGAAACAAAAACCATTACTTTAACTTATATAACACATAATATGTTAATATATGTATAATATATAACATATGTTTGAAAAGTTCTGGAACGTAAAACCACTGTATTGTAAACTTCAGCAAAATCTTGTTAATTTTGAATTTGATGTAGGTAAATCATTCATAATGGCGTTGGGACATGATGTCAAAAATAAGTACTTTTGAAACTATATAACTTATTAAAGTATACTTCATTGAAAAGAAATATTAAAAAATTAAAATGACATAAATAAAACTATAATTTGGATTTTTTAAATGAAATTTGAAATTTGTCAATAAATTATGGTAAATAATAAATTGCACCAATTAAATTTATATTATATTTATTGGGGGCGCAATGGGGCCGGTACGGCCGAGCAAAAAGTTATCATTTTTTCGCAAACTTCAATTTAAATTCTGCTTGCGCAGAACTTGTTTATTTTAGTCATTATAAACTCATATAAATTTGATGTGGGTCCCATATCTAATAATTGAGATATCGGTATACCCAAAATCCACCAGCCGCCACTGTACAATGTACATAACAAAGTCTGGAACTAACTTGAGCATGATATAAATACAATAGCTGTTTTAGAGATAAGATTGATTTAAGGTTAAAAAAAATAACCGAACTTAATTTCTTTATTAAGATTGGCAAGTTAGTATAGACTACGCGAACGTTTAAATTTGACCAAAACTTTTGAAATGTATTGTGCGTTTTGTTTTAAAAAAATAGTACTCTATACTTTTCCAGAGGGTCTACAGGTTATTTTTGTATTGTACTGAGCATGTTAAAAATAAAAATAAGAACCTTTTTAAGCCATCCACTAAAACGAAAATAATTCAACATTTAATTTTGTGCTTTTTATTTGGTCAATCTATTCATTTTTGATAACGTATCATTATTACCGGGATCGATACCTAGCGCACACAAGTCCTTGTTTTACTGCCCATAAATTTATATTATATTATATTAAATTTTTTGATTTAAAAATAATGCAATAGTTTAATTAAACATCTTTTATGTTACAAAAAATAAACGACATTTTATATAGATATAAGGAAAATTAAACTTAAATTTAACATTAAAAAAAAAACAAACAATCCAGTTAAAACATGGTTGCCTAATAATTATTTTAATATGGTGAATAGATTACTGATAAGTTTTATGCTTGTTTCTGCGTGAACAATTGAGGCGCTTCTTACCAAAAGAGCTATAGTCCAAACATTTCTTATTCATTATTTTTATTTAATATAATTATTACTTAAGAACTTATAGACAAAAAAGTACCTTTTTTGCCGAGTGGTTAATAATGCGCCGATTGTAATCGCAATTGTTAATAATTAATGACATTCATTTCTCCCGCTCTGAACAATCAGAATTAAATTAAACGTCAGATTTATATAATTTTGACACAAGTTTTTTTGCGGGTTGCCCCTCGTATATATAAAAAAATCCGACATTTAATTGACATGTACGAGGTGTGTTCAGAAAATATCGGGAATTTTCGTTTTTTGAAACAAATATTTATTTATTCGTCTACATTAATGTTGTCGCCTTCAAAATAGTCCCCATTAGATATTATGCACATGTGCCAGCTCTTCTTCCAATACTCGAAACACTTCTAAAACTCGATCTTTGGGATAGCCTTTAGTTCTTTTAGCGATGCGCTTTTAATGTCATCTATGCTTGCAAAACAACGGCCCTTTAAGGTTCTCTTTATTTTTGGGAATAGGAAAAAGTAAGAGAGAGGCACGTCTGGCGAATATGGAGGCTGGGGCATCATTACAGTATTGTTTTTGGCCAAAAATTTTGTTTAAAATTTAACCATTTTAGAACAAATTTTGCTGCCACGCGTTTCATACCCAAAACATTCGAAAAAATTTCATGGGATGAGCCAATCGATATACCAACATCATCAGCGACTTCTCTGTTGGTTTATAACCATTTCTTCCACTTTTTCCATGTTTTATCGGTTGTTAATGTGCTTGTGCGTTCGGTGCGTTCGTCATCTTCAACGTATTCACGGCCATCTTGTAAACTCTAATTTTACTTATAGCAGACTCACTATAGGCCTTTGTTAACATTTCACAGAGTTTATTTAATTTTTTAAGCAAAATTGGATACAAATTCTTTGATCCATTTCTTTTAACGAAGGAAAAATCGCCGAGCTCATAAAACACGTCTAACCTTAGCGGCTGCAACAAGTTTTTATCATACTTCGGGGGCATGTATACCAACATAATAAAGAAAATTTTATGACAACCGGACCCTCGGAACCCGCGAAATTTAACAATTCCCGTTATTTTCTGAACACACCTCGTACATCACTATTTTTCAATTTTATACCCGGTTTAAATAAAGGTGAATATTAAAATAGGCCCATAACTAATGCCTAACAACGTGAATAACGAGTTAATTATTATGGTTGTTGGGTGGGGCGGTTATAATAGTTACCTTTATATACGAAAAAACGTCAATATTATGAAATAGTAGTAGAAAAATGCTTGAAAACTGATTTACACTAGGGGCAGTCGCTACTGGTGCCCAGGGCGGCAAATTTTCTAGGGCGGAAAAAAATGTAATTTAAAAAAAATAAGATATCAAAACCATAACTTTAAATAAAATTTCAGTGTTGGGGCGGCATTTTCAACAGTTCCCAGGGGCGACACTAAGTTTAAATCCGGCCCTGACCATTAGTACCATTATTAGGGAACCCAACATAATGGGTCAAAAAGTCTACAAGCGTCAAATCTTATTATCATGGGTGGCAAATTGATCAAACGATTTACCGGTTGTAACATGTTGTCTTATTAAAACCACCTATCTTCCAGCTTATTCGCTTTCCCAAAATTCTATTTGCAGAGATGCCGCATGTTGACTCGAGTTTTTATAAAAGTGGTTAGACTTATCTAAATTTCGATAACAAATATTGGATGATTAAAAATGCTGAAGTCTATTACGTTCCATGGTTAGTGGTAGTTATTATGTAAAAAATCGCCACGATCTGGAGACTATACAAAGAACTTAAATTGTCCCAAAATTATTCAAATGTCCTTTACGAACTATACACAAAAAATTAAACACAAAATTGCACATGACAAATCAAAGCTAAACATAAAAGTTATGTTTACATTATAGGAATTAACCTGGGTGGCTTGCTCAAACACAAGCCTAGGCTTAGGTGACTAACCAATGGAATAAATAAAACTTTTATATGTATCCCAGGTTAGGTCATTTCCTTATGTATTGTGTTAAAAATATGGCAGAACTAATGAGATAAATTAATAGGAAATTGTGAAAAAATATGACTTTCTATACGTTGTTAAATTAATCAAACATGGTTGGTTAAAAATGATTACCTAAGTGGGGTTTTAAGCATATTTTTTATTTTCAATGCTCTTTAACATTTATAACAAGATGTCGGTCTTTTAAAATGTAGTTTAATAACGTTAAACAAGGTGATAGATTTAGTTGTTTTTCTTTGAGCAACGTCTTCCCATAAATAACCAATTTGCGTGAGAGGATTTGAACAAAAGCAGTTGATCAAGTTCCTTTTGTCACCTCGTGTGGCACTAAACCTTCTAGCAAAGTAAAATTAAAACATTTCATACGAAAATAAAAGACGTAGACCATCTAGAGGCCGATTATTCACTTATGCCACTTAAGTTGTATCGCTGTATAGCGAGCGCATTGAAACTTTGAGAAAATTACACCATCTGCTGAAAATGTATGTTTTACGTAAGAATTGTACTCACCTGAGGCCAAAGTCTCGAAGTCCATGATGGGAAATTTGCCAAAAATTTGTAAACACTGGTTTGTCCCCCGCCCCTACAACGCTGCTATCGCCCACAATCATCTGCCTGAATGATCAATTGAGATACGCACTCGTTTAGGTTTTGCTTTTCTGTCTGCATATACGAATTGTACTCTCTACAACCGACGATAATTCACTCTATTGTTAGAGCTCGCACAATGTCGTCAACTACCGACCTATTTTCCATTTCGATTAACGAGCATTTTTAACGTGGTTACATGCCATTTAATTTAATAATCAACTGTCAAAATTGACTTTTTATTCCTCGTATTCTTTTCATCTAAGTTGGAATTATGGCAAAACGATTTTGTAATAACGTATATATTAGGGTGTCCCTTATTTTTTATTTTTTTACGCATACCCTCTAATTATATTTATTACGTGTTTATATACTCCCAGTAAAAATTTCAGCTCATTCTATAAACGGGAACCCGTGCCGACTTGCATCTGAACCCTCCGTGAGCCAACGTTAGGCGCGCGGTATTTTGTAACACGGTTGGCCGCGAGGTCTTCGATCGTAAGTCATTTTGTGTTTGTTATTATGTGACCCTTATATTATAAATTATTGACAAATGTTAAAATATAGTTTTATTTATGTGTATACTTTGATAAAAATGTATATTTTCACAGGGAGTGGCTAGTTACCCGGAAGGGTCTAGTGAATATGCCGTAAACTCTGAAATTGATAAACTTAATGGGATTTACTCTAAATAACTAAAAGAGTCTATTGTGAGAGATGACTACCGAAAACTGTCTGAAATATTTTTGGGAGGACATCAAGAAAAGAAATGCTTATAAAAAGCTGAAATTTCATATAACAGTATATTTTAGCAATACTAATTAGTATATTAATATATTTAAGGGATAAAATCAACTAATTTTTTTTTGGTTATTTTTTAGCTGTCATTTAGATATAATAAAAAAACGAGTTTCGGGTAATTAGTTTTACGGCCTATTCACCCGACACTTCCGGGTAACTAGCCACTTCCTGTAAAAATATTCATTTTTATTAAAGTATACACATAAATAAAACTATATTTTAACATTTTTTAATAATTTATAATATAAGGGTCACATAATAACAAACACAAAATGACTTACGATCGAAGACCTAGCGGCCAACCGTGTTACAAAATACCGCGCGCCTAACGTTGGCTAATGGAGGGTTCAGATGCAAGTCGGCACGGGTTCCCGTTTATAGAATGAGCTGAAATTTTTACTGGGAGTATATAAACACGTAATAAATATAATTAGAGGGTATGCGTAAAAAAATAAAAAATAAGGGACACCCTAGTATATATGTTACGGCTAATGTGCAAACTTGGATAGTTTATAAACTAGCTGGATAGTTTATAAACTAGCCAAAATGTCAGCTATTTTAATTGAAAATGTATTTTCAACTAAATTAGGGGCTAGTTTACAAAATAACCAAGGATCTTGGCTAATTTACTTGAAATTATTAGGGAAACTAAAATAGCTGGATGGTTTGTATACTATCCAATTCAATTTGGCTAATATGAAAACCAAAATTTCTAGTACCTAACACAAAATAGCCAAGCTTTAGTTAGTTTGTAAACTAACCAACTAATTCTCTGGCTATTGCCCATTTTAGTTGGGTTTTTTGCTCAATGGGGCGGGGGGGGGCCCAATGGGGCGGGGTCGGTTGGGTTGTGTTGTTGAATTTGGGTTGGTTTTGGGTTTTTTTCTCTCATTTTTGACCATTTGACCAATGGGGCGGGGTCGGTAGGGTTGTGTTGTTGAGTTTTCTAACAACGAAGCGTTAAAATGTTGCCTATGATTCATTTTAAAAACGTTAAAATGCACAAAACAAATCCGGTTAAGCCGGCAAAACGAAAAACAATGCCGTAACCTCACTTTTTTAATAATTTAGCCAGAGAATTGGTTGGTTAGTTTACAAACTAGCTAAAGCTTGGCTATTTTGTGTTACTAGAAATTTTGGTTTTCATATTAGCCAAACTGAATTGGATAGTATACAAACTATCCAGCTATTTTAGTTTCCCTAATAATTTCAAGTAAATTAGCCAAGATCCTTGGTTATTTTGTAAACTAGCCGCTAATTTAGTTGAAAATATGTTTTCAATTAAAATAGCTGACAGTTTGGCTAGTTTATAAACTATCCAGCTAGTTTATAAACTATCCAAGTTTGCACATTAGCCATAACATATATAAGTATTTAAAAATATATACAATATATATATTTTTAAAATGTGCAATAATTATAATAATATTTAAATTAATAGTAATAACGTATATATAAGTATTTAAAAATATAATATATTATATTATATTATTTATATCATAAAATATATTTTTTTTTCTACGACCACTATGTAAAAGTCCACTTTTCATGATGGCATCGTTGCTTAGAAAATGAATCTTTTCATTGGCAAGGCAAAACACGAATGTAAAGTGACATTTCTGTGTGAAAAGTGACAGGTCTGTGTGAAAAGAAATTGACAGCATCGTTTGTCATTCAGCTGTCAAAAAAGTTTTTAGGTTATTTTGTTTTGTATTTAAAAATAATAAAAAATAAAAGGGTCGCAGAAAAAACATTGTGTTATACTTGTGAGAAAAGCTTTCTTCAAGTTCGTGTTAATGCACACTTGGACAAACGGCCTCGTGGGCAACTTAAAAACTCGCATGAAAAAGTCGCTTTTCAACACTAGTAAAACAAATAACTATTTAAAAATTTGCAATAATTACCTATAATAATATTTAAATTAATAGTGTATTATGTAATACATACTATTAAGTTTTATAAACGCCATTTTAGTCAAGAATTTTAATTAGGCACGAGCGAGGTTGCGAGCGAGTGTTTAGTAAAATGAGTGTCTAGAAAAGTTTATAAACGAGGTGGGAGTTGCTACACTTTTTCTCCGACAAATATTATCAGATATAAAAATCTTTTATATATAAATAGTTTATAAAACCAGTTGCCTACTATACTTTATCTGCGACGAACAGAAATAAGAATTTAAGGCCAATTTTAATTCATAAATATGTGACATCTGACGAATTTAACCTCACTTTTTAGAGAGAGCTTACAAGAGTGCTTAATTGAATGGGGCCCGGTTTATAAATTTCTGGTTAAGTTCCTGTTAGTCTATCTGACAGTTAAATTCCATATCGATCGTTGTGAGAACAATGGTATCCATGGAAATTATCTATTAGATAACTAACTGCAACTTTAACTGGACATTGATAAACCGACCCGTGTCTAGAAAAGTTTATAAAGGAGTTGCATACAATACTAAAAACCTGTTGCTAACTGCAGCCTGTGATTAAAACACCACAAAGCACAACTTGTCAATGTGTATTTAAAAGTTTACATAGTGTCATGAAAACATGTACGATAATGGGCGTATTAAACGTGGGAGTAAAAAAAGCGAACACTGACAACTAACTTAAAGCTAACCAGTTGTTTCAAGTTCACACCGTGACTCAAAGCTTGTCAATGTGTATTTAAAAGATCCCGTAGCATCATGGAAACATATACTTACGTGTTTTAAACATGGGATAAGTGTAAGGGGTCAGTGTCGATTTCATTATTAACTGTGATTTGGACCAATCAAGTTTTAAATTGGGATAAACTTTCTCGCCCCTCATAAAAATAGACTTCTTTCAGATGGTTTTAACCTCCATCTCTTCTTCTTCTTCTTCTTTAGATTTAATGGCCTTAGCGTACTAAAACACTATTTGGCCAGCACATTATATTTTTTAAATTTTCTTTACTGATCAAGGGTCTCGATTAAGAGAGCCTAAGTTTGACTCATCCCTTGAATCATTTATCTACTGGTTAATTCAATTTTTTATATCACCATGTTCAATTTTCTTTAACCGTGCACCACATGGCTATATGTACAGGATTTTTTCAAATATTTCAATCTTAATTCATCCGTTTCTTTTTTCGAATATTTTCATATATTTATATATGATTATGATTATTTCCCTCATTATAATATGAAACAATCAAAAGCCTTGAATTTTCGAATAAATTTCGTTTAAATAAGCGATTAAATCACTAGAACTATTTAACAGAGATTAAATTTTAGCCTCCATATTGGATTTTTGTTAACGATTTTATGGTGTTATTTACAAGTTTTAACAAACATTTTTTAAAAAACAATAAAAAATAAGTTATCTAGTTTACGAAATATCAATTATTACTTATTACATACCTTAAATTAATGGAATTTTCTTTAAAAAAATATTTGTAAAATTTGACACATACGTCAGATTTTATGAATTGTCAAATAGTTTCCTTTAATTCGAGAAATAATCTAGACGTATATCACTCAACCTATAAATTTAATCTGTCAAAGTTTTTTATTTGATTTTTCTTTTTGGAAAATAGTTTCATGCAAAAAAATTAAAAATAAAACCCCTCGACCGCTACGCGGTCTGGTGATTTTATTAAATTATTTTGCATTCAACATTTTCCAAGAAAAACCAAACAAAAAACTACTGAGCCTAGTTTAACCGATTAAATTCATAGTTCTCGTGATATAATATATGATTAAAGCCAGTGTATTTCTACCCTGGGAATCTGATCTCCTGGGTCGCAAAGTCACTTATATTTCACTTACTTTTTCATAGAGCAATAACGCACTCCACCAGGGACGAAACCAAACTGTGAACCTCAATCTCTACTTTGAATAGTTTAGTTCCTAAATAAATAACCATTATCTAAGCGGGTAGGTACCGGAATATATTTTTTAAATAAATATTTTATAATAAAATTTTAGAAAAAATGTGAAAATAGTTAAAAGTTTATTTTTATTAATAAGAACACACATTTATTAAGATATTTAAAAAATTGACAAGTAAAATTAATATTTTTTACCTTATACCTAACGTTAAAATCGGTATAATTTTTTTTCAAAGAGTAATGTGAAAATGGAAAATTGCGATGAGGAGGATCTCACTTTTAATATTAAGAGCTTATATCAGAAGTCAAAAAGATTTTTTGAACTACAATTATGTATAGTGTGTCCGGAAATAAAGTTAATATATTTCGGGGAGTAATTCTACATGTAAAAATAAAAGAAAAAGTTGTCCGAAAATGCCTCCTGTGGGCGCTATAAGCATTTTAAACTGTTGCAAAAGTAGATGGTTTTTATTTATTATTTTAGAAACGGTTAGTGCACTAACATGTTAGGGGCCGTTCATTAATTACGTGAGGTGTTTAG